GGGGGGGCTCAGCCTGGAGAAAAGGAGGCTCAGGGGGGACCTTCTGGCTCTGCAACCCCCTGACAGGAGGGGGGAACTGGGGGGGGTCGGGCTCTGCTCCCAGGGAACAAAGGACAGGAGGAGAGGGAACGGCCTCCAGCTGTGCCAGGGGAGGCTCAGGTTGGACAGGAGGAGGAATTTCCTCCTGGAAAGGGTGGTCAGGCCTTGGCAGGGGCTGCCCAGGGAGGTGGTGGTATCACCATCCATGGAAATGAATGTGGCACTTGAGGACGTGGCTTATTAATGGTGGTGGTGCTGTTTGAGGGTTGGACTTGATCATTTTAAAGGTCTTTTCCAACCCTGACGATTCCATGATTTGGCCCAAGTAGCTGAGGTTGTTTCCTGGAGCAGAGCAGGATGACTGTGGAGAAGCAGTTGGGAATTTTGGTTGGCAGTCCATGTCCACTTCTCAACCTCTTCCCTGTGCCCACACTCTGCTGTGCTTATCTCCAGCAGCCAGAACAAGGACATCTGTCCCAGACAGTGCTGTGCTACATCCATATGGCCTCTTCTCCAGCCACATCCTGTTCTTTCTCACAGTGTGTTATTCCCAACAGTCCTTGGATGGCTCCGTGGCTATCGGTGTTTGGCACAGACACATCAGCCCCTCGTCTCCTGGGCTTCTGCAGTATCTCACCCAACATCCCAAAAGGTTTACAGGCTATGAGGGAAAGGGTGAAATCTGAAAAGCAGCTTTCAGGGAGTCATTTGAACCACACTCCTGCGGCCTGAGGAGTAAAACCCAATGGTATGGAAGAGTTTTCTCCCTTCCAAAAGAAAAGGCATTTCCCTTGGACATACGAAAATGTCCAGGCTGAGGTTGTGAAACAGCAGCCCCTGATGTCTCAGAGAGAGCTGCTCCCTCTGTACAGGGGTCAATCAATGATCCTCTGGTGCTGCAGCAGAGCTTCCTCCCCCTGCTCACTGCTCCAGACACACAGCTCCACACAGGACAGGGATTTCAGGGTGGAAAGTTCAGGAATGTAAAAGACAGGGACACAGGAGAGGGAGCAGAGGGGGCTTGTGATGGGAGGGAGAGGGAAGCAGCAGCACAGCCAGGGGCCAGTGCTGACTTGTAGTGATCCAGAGCTGAGGGAGTTTTCAGGAGGAATTTCTTCCTGGAAAAGGTGGTGAGGCCTTGGCAGGGGCTGCCCAGGGAGGTTTGGAGTGCCCAGCCCTGGAGGTGTCCCAGGAAGGCTTGGCCGTGGCACTCAGTGCTCGGGGCTGGGGGACAAGGTGGGCATCAAGCACAGGGGGGATCCATGGGCTGGGAGGGTTTTCCAACCTCAGGGATCCTGGGATTGAATTTGGGAGCTTTTACAGAGCCAGACAAAAATTAAAGTCAGTGAGTGAGCAGTGAGGAGAGTCTGAAGAATAAGAATTGCTTTTGAAAAGGTATTTCAAAATAACATTTAATATTATTAGAAGAATTACATTCATACAGAATTTCGGATACATCACTTAATGCTCCACATTTCAAGTCCTGGGTTGCACCTACTACCCTTTTCTTTCAGGAAAATCAAATCCCTTTGGATGTTTAAAAGTCTCCCTCTGTGGCTCTGCTGTCTCGTCACCGAAGTATCCGAAAGATAAAGCTGAGCTTGGTTAGACTGAAAACAAGCAAGGACTGGAAACACAGCAAAGCAAAAGCATTTTCTCTCCTGGTCTTGAGTTCCAGGCAAAAGGGTTTCCAGATTTTATTGACAGTGAAGTTATTCTGCTTTGGCAGGACCAGGTTAGAGCAGGCCAGCCCTCCTTCAGTGGATTTAACAGTGGGAGCATAAGGAGTAAAACAACTATAGTTAGTCCCCATATGGAAAAGGAATAAAGTTATGGAATAAAGGAATAAAATATGCTGGAGATCCCTTTGAGCCTTCCACTAGACCAGGTTGCTCCAAGCCCTGTCCAGACTGGTCTTGGGCACTTCCAGGGATCCAGGGGCAGTCATAGCTTCTCTGGGCAACCTGTGCCAGGGCCTCCCCTCCCTCATCTCATCAGGATTTTAAGGGAAATATCCAAGTATGGAATGCAACCAGCAGAAAGCTGGCAGTAAATCTACCAAATCATCCTGAGTCTCAAGAAAATAATCCATAAAAACTGTTGAGGATATGTAGGTAATGGACACAAACGTTTTAAAAAATAACCTGCTCCAATATTCAAGTAATGCCTTCAAAGGGGAGCTTTTCACTTGTGCTCATCCCAACAGCATTAGAGATCATTAATAAATTAAATCCCTAGAAATAATTCACATTCTTAGTCACCACACAATATCACACCTCAGTCTATCACTTTCCTTAACTGTAAAAATGCAAAGAGTTCATTTAAGTTTAGCACAAACCTACCCTAGTATTATTTTCACAGAGCATTCCAGTATTAGCAGAGTAAAATATGTTTCATTACTTCAGTTTATAATCCCTGGGTGAAAACTTCATCTGCCTGAGGGTCAAACCCACTGCAGAGAAGCCTCCCACGTTTGTTGTGTGGGTTTTGAAAAAATAAATCCTGCTGACATTAAACTACCAAACCTTTTCAGTTTAGCACTGTGAGGATCTCCCTACCTGTCTTCCCATCTAGGAACAGCCAAATACATTCTTTTGTACAAAAAGTGTTCCTAAAAAAAAAAAAAAAGACTATTATTTTCATTTTCATTAAGCTGCTGAATACAGCACTTTATATTTTTACAGAATTATCTCCACTTAGTTGCATTTCAGAAGTTGCAAAGTGGCCTGAGTCACTGAAAGAACAAAGCATTTTTTTTTAATTTAAAAAACTGAATGATCATACTGTAATCAATTCATTAAAATTAAAAACCCCTCAAGTAATGCTAATTACAAAATGTTACAGCAGAGGTTTGTCTTTTATGCACATTTTTATCTAGGAATTGCTAAGCCTGGGGGATGCTGTTATAGTACAGAGCTGAAATTACAGGCATGGAGAGGCTGCACAACGTAGGAGCCTTAGAAAAATCCATCTGGTTGGAATTTAGGTGATTTCTTTGGAATTTGGTAAGTTTTAGGCCAAGTTAAAAGGGCTTTAACCTCAGGAAGTGACTTATCTGCAAACTGATTGTACACTGACATGCAACATTAGCTTTTTCTCACCTCTACCTTCAGAACACAGTTCCAAAAGCAGCTTAAAATACTTACTGGAGGAGTTCCAGGGCCATTGCTACTTTCACCAAGTCAAAAATATTCTCCCCTTATTTACAAAATGCCTTTAAGCCTCCCCAAAGAACACCAGTAAAATACAGTAACTCTGATAAATTACCACCAAACTGCACTTTCCCCCCCTCCCTCACCACCACCACAGGAACTCGAGATTCCTGCTTTTTAACACCAACTCCTGGATTACTGGAGAGCACTCCCAAAATGTAGCTTGAAAGCTGGGGGGGAATAAAAAAAAGGAATTGCAGCAAAGCTTTCCCTTGTTTTGCTGTTTTTCCACCACGATCCAAAGTGTCCAACACGTGGCTTAACTTTCCATGTTCTCAAGGAAGTCACATTCAACGCTGTCTTCCAGCTGCTGCAAGATCTTGGGGGTGCTGCTGCTTCCAACATAGTCCATGGAGACAGCTGGGGAAGGGTGGGAATTTTGGGACTCGCTCCTGTTTGCTGTAAATGCCCAACAGAGAGTCTGGAAGAAGGGCATGAGCTGGGTGATGCTGGAGACGGAGCGCAGGGTGAGCAGGGGGAATCTGTGCTTCTTGGGAACTCCCTCGGTGTGGTTTGGTTCCTGGGAGCAAAATAAAAAGAGATTCACTAAAGGTCCTGTCAGAGAGGAGTTGTTTTCACTGGTGGTTGTGGGCAGATGTAAGGGAAAAACAGGAAAACTGCCTCTTGTTCCCTTACACTCACAAGCAGTTTGAAATCCTAAAGACCTGGGAAAGCAGATGATTTTTAAAAGCCTCATGAATTTTAGTAGAATATCATGGAATCACATGGTTTGGGTTGGAAGGGACCCTAAAGATCATCTAATCCAATGCCCTGCCATGGGCAGGGACATCTTCCACTAGCCCAGGTTGCTCCAACCTGGTCTTGGACACCTCCAGGGATCCAGGGGCAGCCACAGCTTCTCTGGGCAACCTGTGCCAGGGCCTCCCCACCCTCACAGGGAAGAAATACCTAAAAATCTGTTGCATAACTTTAAATCTTATCACCTGTTTAGAAAAGGAAATTAATGGATTAAAAAAAAAAAAAAAAAAGAGAAGTTTCTTTACCCTATATTTCATCTTGAGCAGATCCATGATCCTCACAATGTGTGGTCTGCATTCCTGATGGTTTTCTACCAGGTGAGAGGTCACAGGACATGACTCTGTGTCCACCTCTGGGACAAATGCCCATTTGTACCTGAAACAAGATTCCTTGATAAGAAGGAAATCCCTGTTTGGATCATTCCCAGTTTAGTATAGCCCTGGTTTCTTTCTAGCATTTGTATTCTTTTGCTTTAATGAACAAGTACATTACTAATTAATGAACATTACTAAAGTACGTTACTACCTTGTCAGTATTTAAATGCA